ACTGGAAAATGTTAAAAATAGAAGGTGTTATTTGCCAGTTTGTTACTGGTTAATTGGAAAAACACCTTTTGAATACAGCAAACAAGTAAAATGGTAAAATCCTACTATTACCAATACTGAATAATTTTTCAGAATGCTCTATCAAGTTGTTTGTAATTTAGACTGAAGGAGGGGGACAAAAATTGAGAGAGAGGAAAGAATTCATTTGTAGGTTCTGGGGACAAGTTTTATTATATATATATATACACACACACGCACGCATATATTGAATAATTACACCAACCTCCCCTCTAGATAAAACAAACTGACATCTCCTAAGTTTTGGAAAATCAGTGTCCTCTGTGTAACTATAATTAACACTTAAAAACAAACTACCCCTGCAGTCATTCTCACTAAGGCTAAACGCAGTCAATGTTGATGACATCACTTTATCAACCCTAAAATGACTATTTTGCCCTTCAAATGTGTGTGGAGACACTTTTGTCCGTTGAAGATGACGTGAAAAGACATCCGTACCCTCAGTTACAGAAAATGCATGGACCGAATACATGTTCTGACTTCTGAGTCTAGCAAACTCCTCCATAGCAGCAAGATTTATGCAAAATAATCTTTCATTTACATTAGGGCTTTAAGAACCGTAAGTGTCAAAATCTTCCATCTATCTCCCTTACATTGTATGCAATTAGGGTTTTTAGTTGTTAAAGTTTTTGAAAGTTCTGCCATTGTTAGAAACAGTCGGAACCCATTGATTTGTTGCTAGAGGAACATGGTGAATCATTCAAATAACAAGATATTTAAATTGAAGTACCCAACCAAACTGCTGAAATTAGCATATGGGAATTAAAAGAACAGAAGTTTATTAGATCACGCGATTAGTTCAGAGCAATCCAAAAAGCATAAACATTGGCACACAAATATATATATATCACATATTGTTTATTAACGAATTGTATCGAAAATCAAAAGATGAAAGAAGATGAGTCTCACCAGGCACGTGACGCAGTACGGTAGTTCTTGGGATGAGAGTTCCAAACGTTGGAGTGGCCCATTCTTCATCGCTGATTAGATCCTAAGCTTCTTGATTCAGAGGCCGAAGAAAAAGGGTTACCTCAAGACGAAGATTGTCCACGTACAAAAGCCCCAAATTGCAGTATGCATCAGTATACCAAATCATTGCTACGCTTGGAAAAAATGTACTCCCTTCGTCTCTGTCTCATCAAAATAAAAAAATACTCTGTATAATAATAATAATAATAATTCCATTTTTTGAAACTAACTTTTTAAATTGTAATTTTTAATATATTTTTATTATAATAGTAGGAAATAAATTTTCAAATATATACTTTCATATAAAAAAGTAGGAATAAAAATAAAATAATACATTAAATTTTATATTAAGACAAAAATTTTGAAACATCTAAAAATAAAAAAATTGGATAATTTTTTTATTGTGGGATAGAAGGAATATATCATATTTAATTATCTCATTTACTTACAGGAAAAAAAATGAATATAGTTGGGTCAAACCCATTCATCTATAAGATCAAAAGATTGGATCTAAATAGCTTGGTTTTATAATCAATTTATTTTTTTATTTATTTTTTTTAAAATAATCATTTTAACAATTTGATATGGTGTATTACTGTATTTTGATCACGTGAGGCTAATAACACCGACCAATACCTTCTCAGAAAATAAAGGAAAGCTGAAAATCCTTTTGACACATAAATGCGTACATCATTTGCATTCTATATAATTATATATTCAAGACGAGAATATTGTACAATGATCAAAGAATTTCATACATGGGTGATGGGTTTATGAACCAATAAAGTGTTTATGTTAGTGTTTATCTGTTGCTTTTTTTATTTAATTATTTTTAGGGTTAGGACAAACACATTTTAGTCTATCCTAATGGGAAATTGGACTCTACTTCTTTTTTTGTAGGTTAAGATACACTTCGAACTAATGCTTGGTAATAATTACTGCTAAAACTTCTTGGTCCGCCCCCCTCAAGTTATTAGTCGAGGCTGTTCAGCTTTCATGATGCTTTCAATAGCACCCTATCAAAACATTCAAAGAGCATTTCTCGATAATCACTGATAGGTTAACAAGCTTATTCTATATATAAATATATATATATATATATAATTGATACCATTCCAACCAAGCAAAACAGACAGGACATTAAAGGTTTTAAAACATGTTCAGGGCTTTTAGAAAATGACTTTTCTTAATTAATTTGTTGGTATATAAACAAAAATTTGATAACAAACTTGTTATGCCATTATATTCGGCTCTTTAAATTTAGGTCTTCAGTCAAATCATAGTCAAGGTGATAGGGATCATCAACTAAATTTAAACCACTAAGTTATGAGTGTACAACAACTAATCAGATTTCGAAGAGAAGCTTTGGAACCACAATCAATATATATATATAACGAATACAGGCAAAATAAATAAGTTGGTTGTAACGAGTTGATTAGATTGGGTCAAATTGAGTTCGGTTTAACTCATCATTACCCAATAAACCTTTCTTTCTTTTATTCAGACACACATGAAAATTATTTTTAAATTGGAATAATTTAATCATTACATTCACGCACCCCTTCACAAAAATTGTTTGCCCAGATATAAGAACCCAAAACTTAATGCTTCATGAAGTATCAGGTCCAACTTCTCAACTGCTAGGTCAATTCTTTGGGCTAATTCAATCATTACATTTGGATGAGTAAAAAAAAAAATGAGGGATTAAAATATGTTAGTATCCCAATAAAAAATAAGGAAAAAAATTAGTTAGAAACTTATATTAATTGTGCCAGCCAAGTTGAAAGGGGTTGGTCAAAATAACACAAATCCAATAACTTTTTTGGAAATTTTTAACAAATTGCTGGTGGAGATACTTGGACGGTTTGACCCAAAATTTTGCTATATTTAATCAGTGCTCTAATACCAAATTAGAATACCAATTCTCTCCAAAACTTAAATACTTAAATTGTTGGATGCATCTAAAAATTTTAATCAAACTCTTTAACATTCTAATTATTCAACAATTATTATTATTATTATTCTTCTTTTAGCAGCGTCTATATCCAATTTTGGATGGACGACATATCCTTCCTGTGTCCAATTATAAGTATAAAATATACTTTGGGTTTTGAGTTTTGCGGGGTCTTCACGATGGCATATGAAGCTATGACCGTTAGATTGGGTGAATTACAAGGGGCCTAATTTTCTGATCTTAAATTAATACTTCCGAATTTCAATGTGATTGGGATGGGTTGATTAGTTTGGACTGGAAATCTATATTCTAGATGACGAATATCTGTATCATCCTTACCGGCCACTTTCAACCATTGGAGGTGGTCCCATCCCATGTGCGTGAAAACATCCTATATATGCTACCTTTTTCCTTCAAAGATATTCAAATCAAATTAATTCGGTAGGTTTTGAATACCTACATGTGTTTATGGCTTTATTTACTCTACTTTGATTCTCTTCTACAAATTATTATTATTATTTTTTTATTATTATTATTATTATTATTATTATTATTATATATATATATATATATTTTATCATTATAATAGTATGATTCCCACTAATCGAGGTGTCAAAGTAGATTAAATACAAACGTGAAGTTATTTTTATTTAAGTAAATGACCATATCATATTCTACTAACTCACCATTTCAGATTTGGATATCAAACTATTTAATTGTACTTTATGGTAAAATAGTCACTTGCAAAAGTCGTTAGGCATTATGGTTCACATTAACTAGAAGGGACATATTTGATACAAACTTTCATACCTAAACTCTCCTGCTATTTTACCAACTACATATTCACTTCTGCTGCATATATATAACTAGAAACACCCTATTTACAAGATACCAACACTTGAAGCTCGCGACACTGGGTTGGACATTAGAGGTATACTTTTAATTTTTGATGTGGGCTGTCGAGGAGGAAGAATCAAACGTTTGGTGTGGGCAGTCATGCATGGTTGATTTGTTTGGTCTAAGTCAATGCTTTTGGACACACACACACACACACATATATATATATATAACGGTAGAAGTCCATTGGAGTGAAACGTGGTTCCCAACCCTTCCCACTACACGGAGGACTCTTCTACACGCCCTTAACTTGAGACCTTAGAATTTTCACTAACACACACTTTGACGCCCTATCAGATTGACCAAGGCATCTATACACTTCAACACGGTTTGAATGCATCTTTAGATTAGTTATTTAATTTTAATAATGCTATGCAAATAAATTTTCTATTAGAGATTAAGTAGTCAATAAGATTTGTTTAAGAGTGGGATGCTATTTTATTTATGTATGTATCACAGTCTTTTATCGTTATAGACACAATTTATTCGGTCAAAAGTGTGTTTTATCGACTTTTTTCAGTTTATTTTTTTGAAAAAAATATTTTTTTATGAATTTTGAAAATAATAGTAATAATAATAATTTTAAAGAAATTATAAGAAAATCAGTTATCTAAATCATAACTTTTGTCTAGCTCAAAATACTCTCAACTAAAGAGTTCTCAAGCTAGTTTATGTTTTTCAATCTCTTAAAATAGAAAATTGTAACTAAAAAAATTGATAAGCAAACCCAAAAGAGACGCTTCTTCATTTAATCCCAAACCCTAGAGACTCAAGAGTTACTAGTGGTGCTAATTGCACTGCTCTCTTTGTATATGGTCCATTTCTTTGTACACACTATATATATAAGCACTTACATACATGCATACACATATACATATATATATAAGTCTCACAATCTGGAATTTTGAGTAGTCGAAGCCCATACAAATGGCAAAGCACGGCAAATGGCAAATGGCAAATGTCATATATATCCTTTAGAACAACGACATGAGTAAAATGACTGTTACATCGTTAGTGCGGTTGACAGGTCACACCAAAGTCTAGTGCCATTTTTCTATGCCTAATAACAGTGATGTGCTTGGAGCATTCCAAAAGTCCTCTCTCTCTCTCTCTCTCTCTAAGCTACATATAATTTCTTCATGAATAACTAGAACTTAATTAGCTCTTATGTACATACAAGTCTCCAACTCCCAAAATTTAACTCCATGGCTGCACCCATGTTCTTAGCTTTTCTTCTCTTCATTTTAGCTATTGTTGTGCCTTCTCAATCCATTAATTTCATCTACAATGGATTCAACCAAACAAACCTTACCCTAGAAGGAGCTACCATCATCAAATCAAGTGGAGCTCTTAGGCTTACTAACAAATCTTCTAATGTCATAGGCCATGCATTCTATCCCTCCCCAATACAATTGTTCACCAAAAATTCTTCTTCTGTTAACTCTTCTAATTCCTTTAGTACATACTTTGCTTTTGCAATAGTCCCCAAACGTGTCAACCGAGGCGGCTATGGCCTCGCCTTCACTTTATCTCCTTCGCGGCAATTCCCTGGTGCTGAAGGCGATCACTTCCTCGGAATTTTCAATTCAACAAATGATGGAAACCCCTCAAACCACATCTTTGCTGTTGAATTTGACACGGTGAATGGGCACAAAGAGATGTCGGACAGCGAAGGCAACCATATTGGGATCAACAACAATAGCATGACCTCAGTTGCATCCAAGCCGGCTTCTTATCTAGTTAATGATACTGCTGTAGAGGAAGAAGTGAGGTTGGAGAGTGGAAATCCAATCCAAGCTTGGATAGAGTATGATGGTGTAAAAGGAGTTGTGAATGTAACCATTTGGCCTGAATCAGTACAAAAACCAACCAGACCACTCATCTCCCATCCCATCAACCTATCTGCTGTTCTTAAGGAGGATGTGTACATTGGATTCTCCGCTGCCACGGGAAAAAAATCAAGTTCTCATTACATCCTCGGATGGAGTTTTTGTATGAATGGAAGGGCTGATGAACTTGATCTTTCTCGGCTTCCTAGACCGCCAAATGAAGGAAAGTCTTCTACTTTTAAACCCCAAACCAAGGTCATTCTCGCTATTTTATCCATTGTGGTCATTTTCTTGACGGGCGTTTTGATTCTTGTTGTGATATACAGAAGGAGAAGGCGGTTCTTTGATAGTATTGAGGAATGGGAGTTGGACTGTCCTCACAGGTTTCGATATAAAGATCTATACGCAGCCACCAAGGGATTCAAAGAGAGTTTGAAACTTGGAGAAGGAGGTTTTGGTGTAGTGTACAAGGGTGTGTTACCCACTACAGGAGCTGAGGTTGCGGTGAAGAAGATATCAAATGATTCAATACAAGGAATCAGAGAATTTGCCGCGGAGATTGAAAGCTTGGGAAGGCTAAGGCACAAGAACCTTGTGAACCTTCAAGGTTGGTGCAAGAGGAAGAAAGATCTCATCTTAGTCTATGACTATGTCCCAAATGGAAGTCTTGGTTCTTTGCTATTCAAGCCTGGAAGTAAGTTCCTACTCAGCTGGGACCAAAGATACAATATCCTCAAAGGCATAGCCAGTGGACTACTGTATCTCCATGAAGAGTGGGAGAAAGTTGTGATACATCGCGACGTGAAGTCTAGCAATGTTCTGATTGATGCTGAGATGAATGGTCGCTTAGGAGATTTTGGACTAGCAAGATTGTATGATCATGGAAAAGTCTCACACACTACCAATATTGTGGGTACAATAGGGTATATTGCACCTGAATTGGCTCAAACAGGCAAGGCGTCTACTAGCTCTGATGTGTTTGCATATGGTGTTCTGCTCCTTGAAGTGGCTTCTGGTAGAGGACCTATTGTTACTGATGCACATGGGGAGAGCTTTACATTGGTGGATTGGGTGATTGAATGTCTTCAAATGGGTCGAATTCTGGATGCTGCTGATCCCAAGTTGAGCTCCAATTTTGTGGTTGAAGAGATGGAATTGGTTTTGAGGCTTGGCCTAATTTGCTGTCACCCAAAGCCAGAGGCTAGGCCTACCATGAGGCAGGTCACGCGCTACCTTGCCGGGGAGGAACCACTTCCATTCTTAGATAATTTGAGCTCCTTTGGTTCTCAACAGGCTGATGAATTCACATCCAAATTTCTGGAAGTGATTTCAACTGATACAATCACAAAATCATATAGTTCATTATGAATAAGGAAGTTAGATGTCTTTAATTAGTTCTTTACAAACTGGAAGAGTGAGTTTCAAACTCTTTATTTATTCCTTCAGATTTGGTCATTTGGTTCTGTTTGGGATTGAATCAACTTTCATTTGTGAAGGTTATCTTCCCATCTGATTTTGTTTGTAAATGTATAATCATGAAGGACTCTTTGTTCATTAGTGTTGCCATTTTTCTTTCAGCCATCTCCAATTGTTTGGAACAGCAACTAGTAGTAATCTCTATCACACGTATGATATCTCATGGAGGTGTCCATATTTTAGAATAATAACACAATCTAGATATTTGGTTGAGACATTCTAGATACTTGATTAACACATATTACACTCTCAAATACAAATCATATAAAATATGAACATATAACAATGCTGAAAAAAATAGGAATATGTTCAAATTGTCCATCATCTTTTCATGTAACCACACTCCTCAATGTGACAAAACTATAATTACAATGACATGGCGCAAGAGCGATAATATATAGTATATCCCATAGTTCTCTCATCTAAATTATAAAATTATAAATAATGTGTTCAGTTTTGTTTAATAAAATTATAAATAATAATTTATATTTATATTACCAGTGTTTGGTGTCCTAATTTATCCGTGTCATAGTGTTTGCCTTTTATATTTATATATATATATATAGATAGTAATTTGTCAAACTTGAGAGCTTGTTTGGTTCATAAATTAAACTAAACAGTCCTGTATGTCCAAAAATTGAAATATCTTTTGAAATGTTTCGTATTGAAAAGACCAGCACAAAACTGATTTTCCAAGACCCGCCAAACAACAGTAGAACACGGGCGTTTATCTAAGCCACAACCACCACGGCAAAACTTGTACCACAAGGCTCAAAGACTGCCTTTATATTCTCCACCTTGATTTCACGTTGTCCAACTTCAACGCGTTCATTTTCTTTTGTCCAACTTCATTGACGTGGCTTTATTTGAGCCGCAATATAAGTCCTATGTCTTCGGAGTTTCTTTCAATTTGGAGGTTACCAAATGATAAAAGTGCGTTGTTCTCAGACCTCACATTCTTTGTTTGACCAAAAATTTGGAACTAAAGATATAAGGTTACCGTTTGCAGGGCAGCAACAACTTACTTTCTTTTGTCAATGCTTTTTTTTGCATACCCGGAAATGAAGCTTGACTTCTGTATTTATTTATTTATTATTATTATTTTTTTTATGGTAATTAAGATTAAGAATTTACCATGGAGATGCTCAAGTGGTATAATCTCTCCAACCCACCTGAAAGGGAAGGAAATGATTTGATCGTGTGTCATTAAAAAAAATGTGTGCGCAAGTGAATTTGTAAATGTATTACTTGATGAGGTATTTTTTTTTTTTATCTGAAAAAAAAAATTTAAAAAAAAGGAAAAAAACAAAACAAGTACAAGCAAGGAGCATGTAACCAGTCTGGCAGTCTCGGTAGATGAACCCTTTGCCCCTTCGTTACTCTCTCTATGCTTTCAACTGTATTTGGATTTTAGATCAGAGGTCACTGCTACAAGGCTGCGGCTTCATCAAGTTTGCGGATCCTTCAGGTTCTTGATCATGAGCACACAGCAAAATGGTGAGTCTCCATCCATCAATCAGCACTCATTGTTAATTTCGTTCAATTATAGGCATTTATAATTTTTTTTTTTTTTTTTTTTTTTTTTTTTTTAATGTTCATCTATATATAATGGCCTATTTGTCTTGATTTTCTGATGGTGTAACTTTAGGGTTTATTATGGTGTGTTTTTTTTTTTTTTTTTTTTTTTTTTAAATCAATGTATAAGCCCAACAAACTTGGCAAACCAAAAATGGGACAAAGATCAATTACAGCCCAAACAAAAAGATAAACCTTAATAAACCATAACAGTAGCATAGCCCAGAAGGTAGGCCCAAACACTAAACACAGGAGATTGAATCTTTGAACCGTAAACAGTGGCTATTCTGAAACATTCGGGGGACTAGCCTTCAACGGCAAGGTGGAGTGATGATTGTTGTAACTTTAGGGTTTATTATGGTGTTTTTTTTTTTTTTTTTTTTTTTTTTTTTTTTTTTTTTTTTTTTTTAAATCAATGTATAAGCCCAACAAACTTGGCAAACCAAAAATGGGACAAAGATCAATTACAGCCCAAACAAAAAGATAAACCTTAATAAACCATAACAGTAGCATAGCCCAGAAGGTAGGCCCAAACACTAAACACAGGAGATTGAATCTTTGAACCGTAAACAGTGGCTATTCTGAAACATTCGGGGGACTAGCCTTCAACGGCAAGGTGGAGTGATGATTGTTGTGCACTCCGCCACATCCGATCAGTCAGAGGCATCGGTGGTGGTCGATTTCTGGCCGGGGAGAGGGACCATTCAGTTGCAAGGTCAGAGAAGGAAGCTCTGTTTGGTGATCTCAATGTTCCAGCAATGGAGGAATCAATCAACCTTAAGACTACGCGTACTGTGATGAAGGTGAGTTCCTGAAAATTCAATTATTCCTTTCCTGCCATATGGAAGTACACCAATGATGCTAGAGCCAATCTGCAGACCCCAAACCTTGGAGTATCTTGGTTCCAATGTTGACATGTCCAATTCACAAATTGATTCCAACTGCCACTTAATGTGTAGAATCTGCATCTATCTTGTATGAATCTCTAAATAGGTAGACAAATTCACATTCAAAGAAAAGATATGAGTGGGTTTCAGGTTGGTGCTGAGCATAGGAGGGTTTTATTAGAATCAAGGCTTGACATACATTTGCTGTCAATTGTAGTAGCTTAGATTGAATTGCAATCCAGAGAATCATCCTTTGCATCGGGATGTCAATTGATTTCCAAACCAGTTTGAACCAGTAACATGAGCAGATGGAGGGGGTAGGTGGTTTATTGTGTGTTTGAGGGTGTATTTACTAGCTTGGCCTGCAGTCCAAGTGATTGAGTCATCTGAACTTAGGTAAACAATAGTGGGATTTGAAATGGGTTCTAACCCGACAACCTGTTGAGAACGGGTCTGATTCAATATTATATTTTTAGGCCATGCCATATATTAGGACCAACTCGGTTCTGATAGGGCAGGACTTGAGTATTGTCCAAAAATGGGTACTTTTATAAATTATTGTGTGATGCTCTTAATAAGTTTTCAAGAGAAGTGCAGTTGACTTAAAGTTGCATCACTTCACATATTAAATAAAGATGTCTAGATTCTCAGCTGTAGCAGGTTTTAGATTCAATCAAACAGAAATGTTACATTCTTTGGTGATCAAGGCAAACAACCAAAATGGCCAACAATTCCACTCTAAGTCAATCTGCTTAGACTCTATAGCCTTCCTGCTCAGTTCATGGGCTACCATATTACATTCTCTAGGAGTCCAACCTAGCTTAATAATAGTATTACAAAAAAGATATGTCCTCTAAAATAAAACCAGTAAGAAAGCTTGAAGGTTGCATTCGCATCACAGAAGCACAATCCCCTTCAATATCCACATTCAAGTATCCCCAATGATGCAATAGTTTCACCCCCTCACGAAGAACTCTGCCTTTAGCAAATGTAGCATCTGCAATCTCATTGAAGAACTCTGCCTTTAGCAAATGTAGCATCTGCAATCTCATTGAAGAACTCTGCCTTTAGCAAATGTAGCATCTGCAATCTCATTGAAAAACTCTGTAGCTACTCTATAAACAACCCACAATCATTCCTAATCACAATTCCACCACCACAAATCTTAGAAGAATTAATGAAAGATGCATCAATGTTAAGTTTCAGCCTTCCATCTACTGGAGGAATCCATCTCTTTTGGATTATTGGATTCAATGGTACCCTTTGAGATCTCTGCACTATTTTTAATTGATCGAAACTCGTAACATAAGCATACTACTTCATCCAAAATCCTTTCTGGATTCATCGCCATCCCTTTAAAAACCAAACTATTTCGAGCTTTCCACAAATGCCAACATAAAAAAACAGCCATGCTTTGACATTCAACTCTCTTATCTCCATCTTTCCATATCCCATTTAGCCACTGCCATCTTAGAAACCATGTACGGGGGACTAAGTCTCCAAACTGTTGTTGCTACTGGACAATCAAAAAGCAAATGCACAGTAGACTCAGCCTCACTTCCACATGACTTGCATCTAGGGTCTTCCACAACTCTCCTTCGATGAAGATTTTGCATTACCGGAATCCTTTCGTAGCAGCACTGCCATAAGCAGAACTGTAGCTTTCTAGGAGTCTTCAATTCCCAGATCTCTTTCAAACACTACTACATGAGCTGCTGCTTGCTTGATTATAATTCCTATTCTCCACAGCTTAAAGTCTCAGAGCGAACTTATAAGCAGACTTAACAGAAAATTATCCCTTTGCTGTTTGGCCCCATTTTTTGCAGTTCTCTTCACCATGTTCTATAATAGGGAGTTGACGAATTAGCTCACTATCCCGAGGGTTGAAACATCTTCAAATCAGATCAGCTTTCTATGATCTTCAACTGTGATTAATAAGATCTGAGATCATTTGAATTTGTGGATCCACATTTCTTGTGATAGCAGGTTCATCAGAAAGCCAATTGTCAGTTCTTACATAAACTTTTTCCCCATTAGCTATCCTCCATCGCATCCCTCACTGTATAATTTGTCTAGCTGTGACAATTGGGAATCTAAAAAAGATTCCTGAGGAAAATACTTAAAACACTCTGTAGAACAAAGAGTTCTCCGCCACTTCTAACCTCCATGCAAGTTTAGATAGTAATGCAACATTAAAAGCTTCCAAGTCCTTAAAACTTAATCCACCCACAGCTTTATCTTCACACATGTTATCCCATTTTATCCATTTGATTTTTGATGGATTATCAGATTCACTCCACCAAAAATTCACAATATGCTAATCAAAGACTTACAAAAGATTTAATTGTAGCAGGTTTAGTGTGCAGTAATTTTTCAACGCAATTAAATCTATTTTCAACATGTTAAAATAAGATGTTGAAAATAGTGTTGAGCGCACCTACAGCATGGTGCAGTGCCCGGTAGAGGATAACCATAAAGAGATTGTGTTAGAGAGTTTTGAAATGATTGATAGTCCTCAGTGCGCAGGACATGCTTGAGTTTACCCTTTTTTATTGAATAAGTGTGTACGTCTCCATAGTATCCTCGATCGCCACTCTGACATTTTGGGATGACATAAGCATACGATATGGCAAAATTTCAATA